ATCTATATAATAAAAAATATAAATTCCAGTTATCTAAACTCTGTAGTGTTTTGTGGATCTGCCTCCAGTCAAACCCTGACCCCTCTACCCTGAGGGGTCAGGGTATTTGGTTTTCAACTTAGTTGACAGGTTCTCATACGGCTAGGGTGCATGCTCTAATACACAAGTATCGAGGTGGGGGCCCAAGACCAGGGAGCTTGCTGCAGAAGCCTTGGGAAGCAGCCCTCCTGCAGGGTTTTACACCCTCAGCCTTGGAGACCCTTTGCCTTGGAAGTGCATTAGATTTTTAAAGGTTGAAAAGTAAAGCACTGATTTTAAGTATGAGCACCAGTGCACGGCTGCAATCCATCCACTCCGCAAACTGAGGGCTGGGGTATGCTCTGTGGTGTGCACCAGGGTGAGGAGAACAAGAGAGCCTTCCACAGTGTACTGTGCCGCACGTCTGCCCAGGTTCTCAGTAGAGGCAAGAAGGGCAGGGCTGAGGCAAGTGGTGTCTGTGAGCTTGAGTGTGGCCCCTCAAGGCACTGCAAAGCCCTGCAGAGTCAGCTGTGGGGAGCACTTGCCTGCAGATGGAACTGCACTGTGCAGTCCTCTGTTGAGGTTCAGCCTGGCCACTCCCACGGAGCCCCGCTGCTGCTGAGGGCCCTGCTCCCCTGCAGGTGACCATTTCTGGCCCATACACTTCATCCTGTGCTGCCCAGTAGGCCATAAGCCCCACTACTCCATCTGCCCTCCATGCCTCCTGAGTGAGCTTCTGCTGATCAGCCAGGCCCACCTCTTGCTGATGATGTCAATGCCTGAGCAAGAGAATGGAGAACCTGATGGGGGGTGGGGGGGGGCGCTGGAAAGCTCAGAGGAAACCCTAAGAATGAGGTGCTCAGAACAGACCCTTAGCACGGCTGCATGGGGGGTTGCTGCCTCTGTGGGCTGTACCTCGTCTTTTTTGTAAAAATCCCCCAGATGTGTAAATGGCACCTTGCAGCAGCCTTGGGGCTAGATGCCGTGTTCCTGTAGTCAGAATCTGGTTGGACCTGCTGACTTGCTGCTCTGCAGTCAGCAGGGCTGTGGGGGACCCACAGGTGAAGCCCAGATTGAGCTGAAGATGCCACTGCAGCTGGACTCGGGGCAGAAACTTGGATGGGATTGAAACATGGATATCTTGCTGCCTCCATAAGTGGCTTCATGTGCTCTTGGCACCTGGCGCTCAAGAAAGCTGCCATCCTGCCTGTGTTAAGCTGGGGGACAGGCAGGGCCCAGGCTCCAAGGGAGCAGATGGCCCTGGGCACTGGGTGCCCTGAACTGGAGCAGGCCTGATTCTTGGGAGGCTCTGCCAAGCCCTCACCTCTCCTTCCAGCTCAGGCTGTTGGCCTGGCCCCACTGGGTCAAGGCACCAAGTAGGACACACAGCAGGAGCATGGGCCCATGGAGGTACTAAGTGCATGATCTGGTACCCTAACACACTCAGCCCGTGTGGTGCCCGTCACCTCCTCTCCAGCCAGGGTGAACAAGGCTGGGGTATGGTGCACTGCCCAAAGCCCAGCCCCTGGTGAGGAATGATCGGGGAAGGAGCTTTCCCTCTGGGCCAGCCTGCTGTTGCTGTGGGAAGCTGTCCAGGGTGGTGTGGGAGGGGCATGAGCAGTTGGAGGAAGGGTCAGGCGAGGGCTGGGGACTGGCTGGGGTCCACTGGCACCCAGCACCCAGGGTGTCTGAATGTCTGAGGACCCTTGCTTGCCCCGCCCCCACATTCCTGTGGTGCAGCTTCCTAGGGAAGCACCTGGCCTTTCTGTGCTCTTCCCGAGGGCCAAAGGGTCACAGCTTCTGCCAGCACCTGGCAGGGGTCCCCTTAGCCACAGCCTACAGTTCCCTGTACTCCACTGGAAGGACCCAGAAGACGGGCTGTACTTCAGAGTAACTGAGGCATGCTGTGCCCACTGAAAGCCCCTTGTTCACACTTCACATACTTCACGTAGCAGCGGAGGGGCTGTATCAGGCCCTTGAGCCTGTTGCCTAGGTTGGCCAGTTGTAATTACTGTTCGTCTTTTTTGTTTTTCTGAAATGTGTATATATTTATTTCGGCAGTGCTGCCCAGGGCCTCACACATGTGAGGCAAGTGCTGTGCCTTTGAGCTACTTTCCCAGCCCCCTGAAATAATTTTTAAGCTAATCGAGCTATAGAGGCCATTTTTACCTTAAAAATCCGGTTAGCCTTAGAAAATAGAGCATGTTTATACATTGACAGTTCCATAATCAGGAAATAATTCCTGAATATTCTCTAATACTCAGCATGTTCAGACATCTCTGCCCTAAATTCATTCCCCTGTACCACAAAAAACAAAAACAAAACAGTTAAAAAGGACATTTGGGATAGTGTTTTTTTTTTTTTTTTGGTACTGGGAAATTAACCCAAGGGTGCTGTATCACTGAGCTATACCTCCTGTTCTTTTTTAAAATTTTGAGTCAGGACCTTGCTAAGTTGCTGAGGCTAGCCCAGGCCATCCTCTGCCTCAGCCTCCCAAGTCAATGGGATGATGTCAGGCTACCGTTTCAATTTTTAAGAACAGGTTTCAGGGTTGGGGTTGTAGCTCAGTGGTAGAGCGCTTGCCTAGCAAGCATGAGACACTGGGTTCGATCCTTAGCACCACATAAAAATAAAGGTATCATGTTCATCTACGACTTTTATATATATAAATTATAAAATGAACAGGTTCCATGGAGTGGAGTTCACAGCATACCCGAATCGCACCCCCTGGGTGATGGTTTATTGGAAAGACTGGTCACACAAGCAGGGTGTGGCCCTCCTTGCCTCACAGCCCCCTCATGGGCCAATGTGCTGCCGCTGTAGGCAGACAGCCCAGGACTCGGCATATCCCCATGCTGTGTGTCCCTGTTCATTACTGGTTCTTCCAGTTAATCTTTAAATGGGAAAATTAGTATCTACAAAGGTATGTGCTATTTTCCGCATGATGGATGGCTCAGGCCCGTTAGCAGCGTGTCACCTCAAGAGTCATCCTGCTTTGCAGTGGGAATACTTACAATCCAAGAACGTAACTGCCTGTGCGGTGGGTCTCCCGAGGGCTCATCTGGTGGGAGACGGCACCCTTGCCCCTGTAGCTGCATGCCCTTGGCTCCTGTGAGGGTGGCTTCTCTGGCCCACCTGTGCCTGGGGTGTGTCACCCAGTGGTGTGCCCAGGGCTACCCCAGGTGGCAGGTTCCACCTGGCTGGTGGATGACAGTACTCCTTCATGCATGTGTATCACCTGCCTTTACACTTGTTTGTGGGGGCCATGTGGCCCATTCCTCCCCTCTATTGGGGAGCAGGCCACAAGGAAGTGGGCCTGCGAATGCCTTTCACAGCCGGAACTGGCCATCCCCGGTAAGTGCCCAGTAGTGGGGCTGGGATCACACAGGCTATGTTTTGGGGGCACCTCCATGCCGTTCTCCATGAAGGCTGCACTGCACTGTGC